AAATAATTTAATTTATTTTATAAAACTATGATATGGATAAAATTTGTCATTGTTAAATTTGCAAATCTTATGTATAATGCAAATTGTATCAATATTTTTACAAAGCAGATTTTACTGAATCTAGCATTGCAAAATAACAAATTACCTGTAATAAAATAAATAATTACTTTTGATCGCGTACAACACAACGTAATAACGCAGAATATGAAAAATAATTAATAATAATTTTACAACGTCAGGGTGAATGCAGATAGTGTGCGATGACTGCGATGCACGGAAAATAATATCATTTATCTACTGATAAAGTAATTTTATAAGCTTTATCGCTTTTCTGTCATTGCCAAACCGGTCTAAAATATGTTATTACTACTTCGTCAGTACTCAGTATTAATAATATAATATTCATACAACGCTACCTATTGGCAGCTATTATAAATAAAATTTTAGTCACCGAAAATCCCTATACCATTGTCTATCTGTCTATTCTATAATCATGGTATATTATATATAATTTATGTAGTATTATAGTCTAATACAAACACATACACGCCAGTCGATAAGCTTCATTTCTCATATTATAACTATTTTAATATTGTAGACATCGATTCTAACATCCCGTATACAATGTAAGAATGGAAGTATAAGTATAAGCTAAATTTTTAAGGACATTTTCTAAAAGATCTTTTAAAATATTATTTCTAGCATTAATTCTGAGGTGTAATAGGTAACTTATTAAATATAACTTAATTGTAACACTTTTCTCTTATTAATATATTATGTTTATGTAAGCACAAAAATAAAGTAACTATAATATTGGTACTCATTTTTTTCTATTTGCATTAATTTCATTTTTGCAGTTTGAACTTGTTATCTAATGTACACTTGAATTAGTACTCTTCATATAACTTATAAAATGGCCTTTTTTTGTCGTTTGTTAAAATATCTCATTGGGTGCAGTGGAATACCCATTGGCCCCTCCTCTGCAGAAGTTCTTTTAAAAATGTCTTTAATACAATTTATAGTGACCATAATGAGTACTTTGAAAATTGTTTTATGCGCCTTGTTAAGTCTTGTAGTCTCCTAAAATATATTTTTACTTACAAACAGCCTCAAGATCATCTGAAACAATTTTTATTGTTGTATTCGTTCAAGAAGAGGTTCTAATAATAATCGGAATTGTATTTAGTTTAAAAAAACTATTAAGAAAATCATAATTTACAAAAATATAACTGTATGGAAATTGTTATATTTTGTAACTCTTAGAGGAGATATTTTAGATTTCTGTTCAGAAAAAAGGTATTATAAAATCTGATAACAACTTATGTGAAATGAAAATTGATAATTATTAAGTTTTTTTAGGTATTCAGCTATAGAATTAGTAGAATATATTCAATTATATTGCTGGGCATACTATCAAAAACATATAAAAAAAAAAAAAAATTATGAGCAGATCTATTATTATAAGGTGATCAAATAGTCACAGCTATGTAGGAAGTTGAAATTGTACATCTATAATTAACTGAGGAAAATTTAAAATTGTTTTATACTATCAATATAACATATTATAGCATAGTTCGTATTAATCAAGAATTCAAAAAAAAATTTTCAAAACTGTGTTTCTATAAATAAAAAATTATATTACAATGTGCAACAAAACATTATGATATTAGCAAAATCCAATACATTGAACAAAACAATTGATCTGTTTTTCTCAATCCATATCCCGTTCAAACCAATATTGGTTCCACAAGTCATGATTATTACCTATTCATTGCACAAAGGTACATTAATCTAGGTACTGTTATGCCAAAGGATTTTTTTTTTTAAATAATTCACTAAGACAAAAATTAAAAAAAATTAATTTTATTTAACACATACAAAACTGCTTTTTCATCAAGTAAGTTATTTTAAGAATTATTGATGTAAGTAAAACTGATTTGTATAGGTATATACTTAGTAAAATATTTGATAATTTTTATTGGTGCATCTGTTTTAATAACAAAAATTATTACATAGTATTGAATGGTTAATATTATTAAACATTATAGTAGTTTTGTAGTGATAGTGAAGGTGAAGTTAGGGATCAATTTTAATTTGCACAGATATTGGTACAGTGCATTTATGTATTACACGCTTAGCATATTTTATTTCTCAATGAATAATTTATAAATAATACATATTTTAACAGGTTTTATATTTATATATTATGTTAATTTAATAAACATAATATTTAAAAATTATTCAAAAAGGATACCTTATAATTGTGTAATACTTAAAATATAAATACTTAATTGTCAAAAGAGTATGAATGATGAAATGAACCTATGAAATAGTTATCTATTTACTTTCACAGTATTAAACCACTGGCTGAGCCAAAGACAAATTTACTTAATCCTACGGCTGTCAGTGGTTGTCACTTAAGATGGTAATTAATCAAAAACATTTATTATTTAATAACAGATATTTATCATTAGATTTGTAATCAAGTTTAATACAAATACAAACAAAATTTTTACAGAAACTTTTCTATCAATTACACATAGATTGGTGGTTCTAGAAGAAAAAGTGTTCAATAAAAATTTAAAAAAAAATATTATTTTTTAATAAACAAATTTATATAAAATTAAGTTTGCAATACAAAAATTATAAATTTTACTTGAATTCATTGAAGACAGCAATTAAAAAGAATATGATAGAAAATTTAAGACCAGAGTATCTATTACCCATGTTTTAGAACTCCTCTCAAAAAAATAATAATATGTATATATGGTTGAAGTAATTAGTGAACGCAAGTTTAAAACCATGATACCCAAATAATAAAACAATTAAAACTAAAATATTAACTATGCTAAAAACTAAAACTTATAATTGACCAATCATAAACATATTACTTTATAATTCATATTACATAATACAGTGAAAATTCTATACAACCGTCATCTAAAAAATTTGAAGTAATGACAACTATTTAGAAGTGACTATCCTACAGAGATGACTGTTCACAGAAATAGATTATTACAGATGACTAGTATATACGACATATAAGCTTTATATTGTGTTTTATTTTGTCAAGCAGTATAAAACTATTCACTGTTAAAATTCCTCAATTTGATTATATTTATGATCTTCATTACATCAGTTGTCTTTGGATTACTTTAATTTAAATAATGAATCTTTTATTTATATGAGATCGGTGACTTGAATTTTCTCTATGTTAAATTCATTTAGTGGGCAGCATGTATATGTTGACATTTTCTTTTTCATAAACTAATAAAATAATTGTTTTAATTTTGTTACATAAATTAAAAGCTATTTTATTTAAAGAAAGGAAGTTAAAAAAATATATTAATTGATATAAAATCATGAAATTTCAAAAAAAATTAAAATCAGCACTCATAATTAAAACTCAGAGATTATGAAACTTTTAAATATTTCATCATAAAATGAAAACAATATGAAATTTTTGCTAATAGTAAGGAACAAGATAAATAATAAATTAAGATTTAAATCCTTAATTGTGTTTACATAACAACATATGCTAAACACAATTTAAAAAATATATAAAAATTATATAATTTTTACTTTTGACTAAACACTGTAGAATGCAGATTGTACATGTTCAATACTATAATGCAAAAAAGACATGATTATAGAATTATAGGTTTCACAAAAACAAAACATAACAACTAAAGAGTAAGGAACACAATAAAGTATTGTTTTGGATTATTGTTTATTTTATATATATATATATATATATAAGATTATATGAGCTGCTATAGCATTCCAAGATAAGACTGATTATAAAAATAAAAATTATCATAAATAATGTTTTTGAAGGTAAATAATACTAGTATAGTTTTATATATATAATTTATGTTTTATTTAATTCTCACTAGCAAAATAGTATAATTTTTTTTTTTTAATTAGCTAGTATTTGAATTTTTAGTTTTAATGATTTTTCATAACTAAAATACACATTAAAGACCATACACAAATATACAATATCAATTTTAATACGGTATTTCAGTCTTGCTTTAACAATTCATATTTTTTTGTTATAAAAAAAACATTAGAAAACAAAAAAGATAATATACCAATTGAATTAAAAAAAAAAAATTCAACGCTTAACTTAGCATGTTTTAAGATATTATTAACCTAGCTATAATAGAGGCAGTTTTAAAAAATAAAAAATTACATATTAATAAGATTTTAACAGAACTCCAAATTTAGATCAATAAAATAATGTAATTTTGTTGAAATCAACATTAATTAAATGATATCTTACATACATTGTTCTAGTTAAAAAAATTTTTAATAACAGTATTTTAATATGTTAAGATGGTTGTAACATAAAATCATAACTTTTATAAAGCTTAATTTAGCTTATTTTAGAATGTAATTAACCCATCTATAATAGACGTAGTTAAAAAAGTAAAAAAAAAAAAAAAAATAGTAAAAACTAAACATTATACATTAAATAGATTTCAACAAAATTCCAAATTTAGATCGGTAGAACAATGTAATTTTGTTAAAATCAACATTAATTAAATGATAACTTATATACATTGGACTAGTCAACAATATTTTTCAATAACAGTATTTCAACATGAATGTTTGTAACATAAAATCATGATTTTTATAATGTTTAACTTAGCATATTTTAGGATATGATTAACCAAGCCATAATAATGAATAATGATATATGATAGAGGTAGTTTTAAGAAATACAAAATAAAATATTAAAAAACTAAAAGTTTAGCATTTTATATTAATTTGATTTAAACAAAATTCCATATCGACACTAGTAAAGTAATGTAATTTTGTTAAAACCATTATTAATTAAATGCTAGTTTATATACATGGGACTAGTCAAAAACAATATTATTTTAAATTGGTTAAGACATTTGTAAAATTGAGTCATGATAAAAATAATAGTAATGATAGTAATAATTGTAAAAATAATAATAGTAATAATTATTGTTACTGTAATAATAATAAAATAATAATAATAATCAAAATTATAATAATCAACATAAAATGTGAAATTATAATTTATATGAAAATATTTTAGTTATTGGGAATTACTTTTTGATTCATCCATTAGAGATTGCAATGGTCTGAAGGAAAACGAATGGTTACTGTTTGAAGAATCACCACTGCTACTACATATGGAATCTGTAACTAAAGTTGCATTCATTGTTGTAGGAACAATACCGGTCACTTGCATTGGTTCAGGTCTAAAATATATTAAAAAACATAGTTATTAAACGATAAACAAAGTTAATTAATATGCTAGCGTAATAAGCACTAATGATAAATACATTTTTTTTTTGTCTATTATATATATATTAATATTTGGCTTTCTATTTTGAATCACTTTTACATAATATTATGTATTAATATTTAGCTTTCTATTTAGAATCACTTTTACAGATAACCAATATATAATGTTGATTTTTTAAGAATTTAATTAAACAATAAAGGTTATTATCATTTAGCAAACAATATATATTATTTTTAAATTATTATACTAATGCCAGGTTGCACAAAAAATTGATTAATTTAATGGACCGATCACGGGTCACTAAATCATGTTTAAGGGACCATTAACTTACAATTGATTCAATAAATTGTTTAGTGATTGTTCGTGCAACTCAGCATAAGTATTACATTTCATCAAAACAAATTCCCAAGATTTAAATCAAAATATATAATATCATTTAATTTTTTTATATTACATGTTATTATTTTATAAATACAGATTAACTCAATATTAATAATATTTTTATAATTACATAATGAATAAATAAAATTAATTGTGTACCTGTAGATATTATTTAGTTAAATTAAATGAGACAAGTGTCAATTAAATAACTAAAAATTAAATTATAATATAAAAAAACATTAACATTATTAATATCAAATATTTTATCAGATCACAACAATCAACATTAAAATTTTTAAATAACATGTAAACTGTACATTACATATAACACACACTGTATTTTATATATACCAGTGTAATAAGGATAAACATACAAGAAGAGAAATTATTTTAAATTTAAATAAATTCTATGTATAATGATGGCCTATAGTATTGACTGTGTAAAATGCATTTTACATTATGATGCAAAATAATTTTGTTAATAAATAAGTAGAATAAAAATGAAATGACAAACCTATTATTGGTAATCAGTAATCCCCATTTCTTTGGAATCGGTTCATAGTCGTCCATGTCACATTTCCTTTTAACAGGTCCTAAAGTGCTAGGACGCATTGAAATTGGACTCAAGCTTCGTCTAAAACATAAACTATGTAAAGAATTATCAAATCTAAAACTTGTTAGTAAAATAATATATTATGCATAAAATATTGAACGTATTCAATATTTATAAACTGGAGCAACTATAGCCATAAGTTATAATAATTTTTTTAACATAAATATGTTTTTGGGATGAATAAAACTTTTTTTTCTGATCAATAACGTACAACACTATTTATTGAAATCTGTTACTATAACAATTAAATACCTATCAATCTTAACGGTTATCTAAACATTAATTTAAAATCTACTCCTGGCCAAAAATTCATTCAGTTTATGGTTTATAATTAAAAATATATCTATGATTTTTCAATTTTCTTTGCAAAGGAAAAATATCTAGTACTTTATTAACTTTATTATGATAAATTTTGATGTAAAACTTAACAATTTCTTACATTTTATAATAAACATTAAGGTGCGATTTTCCCGCAGTGTCCAGACGCAGAAATCCAAGATTATATATATTTTGTGTACGACTAATTTCTCTACTCACATTTGATGCGGCATTCAGCGTCATTTGTCATTACTAGTCTGGATCAGTGTCGAGTCTAGATGTTTAGTGTCAACACATCAATTAAAAAATGTTTGTTTTTCTCAACTGAAGACAAGGCTTTGATTTTATTTGTGGAAAAAATAAAGTTATTTCTGATAGTGCCCACAAAAAGCACTAAGATAATTTTTTTAAGGATAATATTTGGCTAAGTATATCCAAAAAAGTAAGAGATCAAATACGTGTAAAAAACAACGATCGTAATGATTATGATTCAATTTTGTAAAATTAAACTAAAAGAATGGGATAAAATTTACAATGTTTGATGCTACAGAGAAAACAATATAAATGCAGTCTAGACGCTGCACCTGGATACTGCAGGGAAACCATACTTTTATGGTTTAGGTAAGATCTATCCATTTAACATTTTTTATGTTTATAAAAATGTAAACAATTATAAGAATATTATTAAAATTGTAGTTAACATGAACGACAAAAAAAAAAAAAAAAACAATACTTTTGTTAGCTTTTTGGTTTAAGTAGCTACAATCTAAATGATAATTTGGGTACTTATTGTTATAACATTAAGTTTTAAAACAAATATTTAAGAAATAATTACCCTGATGTAAAAGTTTTACGAGTAGGACTAGGCGATAAATTAGGTTTAAAGAGTGATGGTGATACACAATGTCTCAATGATCTGGTTGGCGATGGCGATGATGGAGCAGAAGTCATTGAAAAATTTAAATGCAATGGATCATATACATTAGATCTACCATACATTCCACCAGGTTGTTTACCAAACTGTCCTTCATCAGCCTATAAAAATAAAAATATTTTATATGGTTAATATAACTTTATGTTTTTAATTAACTATACAAATTTTAACATTAAAAAAATGTAAATAAAAATATTAACTGATGTTTTTAGGGTATGGTATTATTTAAAAATAATTCATATCTTAAGCATCAATATACAAACATCATGTAAAATCATTTTAATAGATATTAATTGGTTGTTAAATGTTTTCATTAGTACAAGGATATAATATATTACGTCTTTACTGAGCATAGCCAAAATTTAATTTTTATTGAAAGAATCATATCATATAACAGTAAACATAAATCATAACACAGAACTATTAAATCATATAATAAATATGTTAGAATAAATTATTAGATTACCTTTGTTGGTGAATCAATCATAATAGATAAATCTTCCCATGACTGTGATATTTGCATTGCTGAGTGTATTTCTCTTTCATGGGCCACTTCTCTATTAATCAAATCAACAGTTTCCTCCTGTCGCAGCTGATTAACTCTATGAACTAATTTTGGTGAAGTCTGAAATAAAATTATTTATTTTAATATTTTACTACTTTTTAGGATTGGAAGTCAAATGTATTTAACATAATTCTATTTAATAAATTGTTTTCTATTGGTACTGAATAGTTTTGATGTATATATATCGAGTAAATATAAAAAGATGATTTTATAAGAGAATAGTTTTGTTTCAACCCATATAACTAGACCAGTAAATGTATTATAACATTTATAACTTAATGAAGACCGTATTAAAATCAAAAATGGGAACTTAATATACACAAATCATTTTCCAGACTATTTAAAAATGATATCGAGTTTACATCAATATCATTTAATTAAGCTAAAATCTGGTGTTCTTTTAAAAAAAATAAATAATTTTGTAAGTGATTGTTATGTGTAAAATATATAATACAATATATACATTCACTGAAATTGTTAAATATAAATTTAAAAGACTGCCTAGAAAGCTAAAGACAAAGATAAGTGCATATTATGTCGACTGCGGAACCATTAGTGACTTACATTTGGCATTACATTATGAGGACTTCCACTTGTGCTAAATCTACGGAAGCGTGGTTGTACATTTCGTAAAAATATGTTACATGTATTTTCTCTGAAACAAAATAGAATCCAATTTAGTATAATCGTTATATTAACATTGTTTAGCATTACATTCATAGCTAATTTTAAATCATATTTAATGGTTTCTTATTTGTTGGAATGATTAACATAGTTACATTTAATACACCTGATATAGTTGGACTAAAATAATATTATTGTTCCAAACCCAAACCAGGATTAAAACATAAAATTAATCAACAATGCTAGGTACTGAAAATTCAAAATATCCACGTAAACAATTAATTAGGTTAGGCATATGTCGTAAGAATGGCAAATAATAAAATCGAAAGACATCGACGATAACGACTAGGGCTGCCGCCTGCATGTAGTATTACCTAGACAGGGTAGCACACGGTGATCCGGTGATGGAAGCATTCATGTCATTGATCATCGGCGCACTGTTGGATCTCTTCAGGTTTGACGGGCAGTCCACATCCATCTTGACGATAGGACCGTCTTTGACGGACATTTCAAGCGAATCGGTATTAAATTCAGTCGGAGTCTGGCAATAGACAATTGGGTACGATTCGACGAGGAGAGCACTAGCACATGGTCACGTCACCGTGTTAGTCGGGGAAGGGGGCGCACAGGGCGGGCGAAAATGGTGCCTTATGCCGTCTGATCGTCGTCGACGTCCGATAACTCGAAGTCCGAAGATGTGGTGGAGTCGTCCGACGAGTCGTCGACCAGCCTTATTCGGTCAAAAGGTTCCAGCGGTTCCGTCGCTAAACCACCGGTCAGCAGGCGGAGTTCGTGTTGCCTCGCTAGCACGGCTACTCCGAACAACGCGACTGCTGCGAAGACGGCGACGCCGACGACGACAACGACGCGAGAGACGAGCGCGTGAGTCGACGGCGACCGGCGGAACCGGAGTGTGAGGAACAGGACGAGAGAGAGTGTCATATATGAATTATTATAACCGATATAATAACGACAATAATGATGATTTAATCAACAGCAATCATTAACCGTGTACGTACGTAATAAGAGCGTGTGCGCGTTATTGAAAAATATTACTATGTGGGCACACGCACGCGGACACAATAATGATTACGGACAGGAGACACACACACACACACACAAACAAACACACAGAGACAGACAAGTGCGCGGACGGTCGGGCGGCTCGCGCTAAAAAAACAGAGTATCCGGGCCGAGGAGAAATCGAACAAAAAAAAAAAAAAAAAACACCTAACAGCGAGAAAAATAAAAAATACGAAACGCGCGCGCTCAAACGAGGTGGGGGCGGTAGGAGGGTGGTGTGTTCATTGACCGGCGGCGTGCGGGCGTACGGCGGCGGCGGTGGCGGCGGACTACTGCTATCGGAAGAAAACGGTAACGACGGCGGACGACGACGAATGGAACGCCGAACGTGAATAATAACAAATAATTGAATAATAACTAGCGAAAAGGAATAACAAATTAAACGGAATGGACGGGCGGGTGTGAGGGAGGGAGTGGGAGATAGAGGGAGGGAGAGAGAGAGAGAGAGAGAGAGAGCGAGTGAGAGATAGAGCAAGAAGGAGAAACAACACAACCGATTTTTTGTTAGAATTTATAATGTTATATTATTGCTATCTACGACACATTTCGAACGGGGAAAAATAAAACATGTGTTGCGAACGGTTCAAAACGCGACTACTACACCGAGACACCGAGTACACCGCCGTAGCCGTAGTACCGTCGTGCACTGTGCGCGCTTGTTGTGGCGGTTGTGCGCATGCGCGCGAACGTCTCTCCCGTTGTCGTGTTCGGCGGTGCGTGTTTTTCACACCGCGCCAGCTGCTGCCTGCTGCTGCGCTGCTGCTGCTGTTGCCGAGACGCGACGCCGCGCGCGTGCGCGTGACCCGGCCCGGCCTTATCACGAGCACGTTCCGACGTTCGCGATCTGTACGCCGCGCCGGATGGATTTTTGATTCTACCTCCACATCCTCCAGTTGTCTCGCGGCGATACGGTTTCAAACCCGGTTTCCCCCTCCCCACGGCATTCTCGTCGAATTTATTTCTTTGAAAAACGTTCAAGCCGTTTTTGGCCCGCCGCCGGCAAACCGTCTCTCTGTACCTACTCGTCTACAATTATTCACAATAATTATTGTTCATCATTATGTCATTGCTGACGTTGATCCTTTGTCGAGACTGCCTAGGAATTCGATGACGGCTGTTCGTAAAGTCGTTGCGCGTTAACGAATCGTGCGGATTATTATTATTGTTCTTATTTTATCAAAAAGAACAATATTACAATGATTAATTAAACATTTACAGTTAAAAATTATTCATCTGCCTCCTTATGCGTCGCTCGTGTTAGGATATATGGAGATTAATACAAATATTACGAGTTTAAAAAATTATTAAGTTCTCACATATCTACAATCTGATTATATAAGCAGTAAAGTTGGGAGAGATATAACACAAGTAAAAGTAATAGTAACAAATTAGGTATGCTGCCATACTCGTATACATAAATTAATAATAATTAAACAATATCATTGAGTCTGTGGCATACTTACAGGGGAAGATTAGGGAGATATATCTCCCTCCTTGACCTCTCTTTTTTTAGCTTATATTATTTATAAATGCTTTATATTATGGTGTCTTATAAACGTTGACGGAACGTTTTACGTTTCATTTCATATGAATGCGAGATTTAATCGATTTAGATATACGCCCATACGTATAATATTTTGTTTTTAATAGCTATTAGCTACTTATTACTTATTACTTGTAGTTATTTTTACATTTAAGTTATTGAGCTTAAAAAGGTAATGAAATTATAGACAATCCAAATTGACGATTTTATCGGTATGGCCAATCGAAATAAGATATCTCAGAAATCGTTTCGGTCAGCAAATTTCTCAGAATACCTACCGTTACCCATAGCCATTTACGATGATTATTTAAAATAGGTAGTTAAACCGTTTAAATAGGATGAACTTATTTACCGTTCGTTTTAACACTCTTAAACACAGTTACAATATGACAACGATAAAATCCAATCGATATACCTACAACCTGTTATGTAGGTTTTTATGATTCACATTCAATAATGGTGTGAATACTTAGGTTTGTAGTGCCTATAATTTTATAAATAGCTTAAAATTAGTCTAAATATTTTTTAAATGCTATTTTATAAGTTAGTGTGGATATGATAGAAACAATAGTTAGGTAAACTTACAAAATGGTGAAATGTTTCAAAACTGTGATCAATAATTTTTAATTTTCATTAAATTATTAAATACTAGAAAAATTCGTTATTTTATGTTTAATTATTTCAGTTTTTCAAAATTTGAAATGCTTAAAAAAAAAATAAAATCTATTATTTTATTGTAAATATTATAAGTTAAGAATGGGTACTCATTTCTATCTTAAAAAAGTTAAAAATTAAATCTTCGAAAAAATAAATTATTAAACATAGATAATATTTAATAGTACATAATAAAACGTAAGAATACCTACAGTATATTATAATGTAATAGGTAAACATTAAATGTTTAATATATATATGCCAATTCAGTGGCGCCGATCAGTATTAACATTGGTTTTAGAATATATTTTAATATATTTTACTATATTCTAAAATCAATGGTATAAATAATAGGTAGTTAGATAGTAGCTAATAAAGTAATAAGTGTAGGGGTTGAATTTTATTTTTGATATTTTTTAATACTGTATATTAGGCTATATTTTCGTGGTCGGATAAGGAAAAAATTGTATCTTTTGCCACCCTTGTAAAATTGATTTTGATATGACCCTTTTAAGCGACTTTGGAATTTAATTCAGATGTACCGAAAAAATTATACCCGTTAGTATTGTATGTAGATACCTAAAATTAAAATATCTAATAATTAAACTGTCCTATTGGTTTGCTATTAATCACTAAACAGCATACGTAAGCATATGTAAATACCCTGCATGCGATATAATATATAATATAATACATGTATTATACGTAATACGTGAGTACGTGTTTAGTTGTATGATTGACATATTATAAGATTATGTCATGAATCATGATACTAGACAGTCGAAACTCTATTTCAGCAGCAGAAAGAGAAAAAAGTCGAAAAAAAATTGAAATTCAAAATTCATCCATTATGCATACAATAATATAACACCTACATAATATTAAGCATGGGCACCACAACAAAATATGTTTTTATGAGGTTGTTTGTGTTAGTCTTTTACTTGGGTGTTCCTTAATTTCACAAAAAATAATATGCGTTTTTTAATAACATTGATTCCCAATATTCAAATAAGTAACTACAGTGAAACTCATTATAACATTATTATTATTTTATTACAGTCTAGTAATACAATCCTACAACGGGCATTAATAGGACGGCTGCCGGCGAGCAACACAAGAGTATAAGACGTATAGAAATATTTATACAATTCGGTCCACAGAATAAATAATATTATCTAAAAATTAGTCGTCTGTATTATGTACGATTATTAAAATCAAGTATTTGTACGTAAGCATATGTTGTTATCGAAACAATTTTGCTAGGACACATTATTCTGATTTATCTATTTTGAAACCAATTACGTTAAAATTATTGACCTAACTGTATACACTATACATTATAATATAAAAGTCTATTGTCCAAATAGCAATATTGTGAAACGACTAAAGACTATAATATAGGTAATCTCTCAAAGCTGGTTTTAATATTCAATTTTTTTCTTTCTTGATAATTTCATTTAATGTATTTCCCGTTAATTTGAATTCGCATCAAATTAAAATTATCTTTATCGGTATATAATTTCTGTCAGTGAAAACGAATTCAACTGTCGATTCATTTATAATTTAGGTTTGACTGATACGTCGCAATACTTGCAATTTTAATAGAATTATTTTATTATTAAAATTATATGATTATGTTAATAATACAACACTTTGTTGTTGATTTATTATCTATTATTTTTGAATTCATCAAGCGTTAGCTATTGCCTTTATAAGTATCTACATAATATTGCCGATGTAAATAATTTTCTTGTAAAAATAATTATATCATTTATATCCGAACGATAAAAATTGTTTAAATAAAACCAATAGATACAACTACATTTATAGTTGTCTATGTTATTTGATATTTATTCATGTGATGTCCATGATCTATTCGTCGGGGTGTAAATTATAAATAGTAAGCACGAATAGGTTAGGTACTTATAAGATATTAATATATTATATGTACCTATCATACAGTTGGGTTGTGTAATATTCATATTTTATGAAAGTACCAACACCATATTATATGGCATATACGGTGTAATAAATAAAATTACCTATATACTATTATACTAAACGAGTTTAAAATTTAAATTTGAACGATTTTCGGCTAGACGTAATGTATAACGTACCGTGAGGACAAAACATTGAAAATGGGTCAAATCGGGTGATGTACCTATACTTATTTATGTACGACTTTACGAGTTAGGTCATGTTGGAGATAGCTATAATTTCAAATCGCAGAGCAAGTCCACTACGTACAATGGAAATTAATCACTAATAGTGGTTTTGACATAAACCATTACAGAAACTAAAGATTCACCAAACCAACGCGCCGTAACACACAGTTACGAGTCACAACTGCCAATTGGCAACAGGTGCAACTTTTTCATTTTGCTTTAAAATAAAATTATAATAACATGTTGTCACGTTTAGTGTTCGCATCAATCATTCGTAAACTGTTATGGATATACATAATATTATACCCGGTGTACACATAATAAATAACGTCAACATTTTTCACTGATTTAAAATTCAATAATAAGTACGTCAGATTATGGTAACAACTAGGTGTAAAACTAAAAATACACCTAAAGGAATGTTCATGTAGACTTGAAATAAATTACAAACTAAATTGGAATTTTATAATCTTATAGATATGAAAAAAATGAACTTATTGA